TAGAAATTAGAAAAGAACATAACTGACTAGGAATTTTAGAATTTTCAAAAGATAATTAGACAAACAAACATATCTATATAGTATTTAAAATATATATGTATATATATATATATATATATATATATATCGTATTTTCAGACGGATCATACGGCCAAATATCAAACCCAACCCAAACTCGAATTTTCTCGAAAAACCGAGTTTTAGATTTTCAGATTTCGAGAAATTCAGGTTTTACACAAATACCTTATTTTTAGTTCAGGTTTCGGATCATTTTGGTTTTGCAAATCCCTAACTCCAACATACTATCTCACTACTTGAAAATTATGATATGAAAGAGAAAACTAACTATTTCGTGAATTAATTGTTTTATAAAAAAAATAGATATACTTAATTCACCATAATAATGTTATGTTACAAATAGTTAACATGTTATATAACTTGTATATTGTAAATAATTATGTTATTTTATTGAAATACATTTTATATTTGATGGTTGTAGGCCATTATTACATAATAATTAATGTCATATTAAATTTTATTAAACACAGCTTTTAATGAAACAGCAAATAATGAGTAAAAATACTTATTTAATCATTGGATTTGTGGTTTAATGCAAACCAAATTTTTATAGCAACATCTTTTTAAAACATATAATAATTTTAAAAGGTATTAATTCAAATTATTTTTTATTAGTGTTCGACATCGTACGTTATGCAGTGATCAAAACTCAATTTAAGAAAAAATGTAAAAGCCCTGATCCTGTGGAAGAGCGATATGTTTGAAAACTTAGGATCGTATTTATATTTATAATGTCCCGTCCAACACCGTAAATCATGATTTGGAGAATACTAACATCAAATGAAAATACGTCATTAAATCAACACTTTCATTCTATGTATATATATACAAGTGATATAATGGATACTTAAACTAAATTTGTTATTATAAATATCGCAGTAATCACAATTCTTGTTAAGAAAAAAATGCATCATTTGCATTTGTTTTGCACAAAAATTATACCAACTGATTTGTTTTGATTTCAATCATGGTTATAGATTTCAAAGCTCCATCACATGTTGTTCCCAAAAGGGTCTACAAGAATACTAAACAATTTGTAAAGGGGGGGGGGGGATGAATACAAACACAATTTTCRAATTTAAAATATATATTGATAGAGAAGATCAATACAGATTTTACAAGATTGTTTGCGAAAAGATAAGGTATAAGAAACCTATCTAAACAATCTTAAGTTACACACAAAGGTTAGCAAATACAAGAAAAGATATTGCAAAAAGAAAGTCTTTTAC